CGAATCGCCCCGTGGCGCCCTTCCGTTTCGTCGCCCCGCGGCCCCCCGTTTCGTCGCCCCGCGGCCCCCGTTTCGGCGACCCGCCGCCCACGGTCGCCTCGCCAGCGCCTACACGGACGCCAGCGACGAGCGTCGCTGCAGGCGCCCGCTACCAACGACCAGCGCCCGCCGCGGACACTGGCGTCGAGCGCCAGCGCCTGCGTCAACTGCGGGCACCAGCGCCTCCGCCAGCGTCAGCAGCTCCGTACCCCGCCCCTTCCCTTCCCTTCCGCGGCTTCTACCGTGGAGGGGGGGGAGGGAGACGTGGGGGTGGCGGGTGTGAGCATCCTGCAGCCCGTCCCTCCCCTCCCTCTTCCTCTCTCCCTGCATCAGTCGTTGCTGTGGGGGGGGGGGGGGGGGAAAGAGAGGTTACGGGGGGAGATGAGGGGGTGGCGGGTTTGAACCCCCAGCAACCGCCACTGCTACTGTGGCACCTACTTATGCAGCCCCTGACGCCACTCTCTCTTCGTTCGTCTTTCTTTGCTGTTGAGCTGCAGGCGTTGCCGTTGAGCCCTGCGTTGTCGCCACCCTTTCTAGCCGCACGCACCTGCTCTCCGGGCTACCTGCGCCACATGCACCTTCTGTTTGTTTCTTTCTTGCCTCAGGGCTTACTGCAGCTGTCTCTGCCACTACTGCACTGGTTGTCATTGCTCTTGCGCGCTGTTGCTTTGAGTACACCTGCAGGTTGTGATTTGCACTTTGCTATTCCTGCATGCAATTAATGGGGGATGTCAGAACATTATTATAACTGCATGTAGATCTAGCAGTAGTGTAGTTCTTTAAAATTAGTCGGACATCTACCGCTGAGCCACTAACTATTGAATTTGGGCACTTTAAAATCATCCATATACGATATTTTCAAAAAATACCCTGCCCAAACAGACTAACTGTTTTTTTACCCTGCATTTGTCAGGGAAAAAAAAAAAACACCCTACGCATCAGGGTTGACTATACCTAGAACCCTGATTACTAAGGGTGGCCCAAAACGAATCTGAAGCCCTGCCTGCAAGTGTACCTGAGGAGTTGGGGTTTTCGTGATATACACGCACTCGCATATCGGAGGGGGCTTCTTGAAAGGAGGGGGGGGGGGGGGGGGGTAGTGCAAGGAATTTTCTCGACATTCCTTACCGCGACCGTCAACATCACGTACAGCAGCAGCCGTTGTTCGCCCGTTACTGCTAACGGGGCTTCGCCAACCTCGCGCGCACCGTTTCACCAAACCTCGCACTGCTGGAGCAGCCGAGTCGGCCTACGCTTCGGGATTAGCCCGAACCTCGCGCCAGCGTAGCACTAGTTAGCTCGCACACACCGCGTTACCGTTTGCATGTTTCGCCTAAAAGTATTCGCTCATGCCTTCGCTCATTCTTTGTACTCGTTTGACACACTGGTGCAATCCTCACTACCTCGATCCATTGCACCCGTAACAATGTCACTAACATGCTTCTTTTGGTAGCCAGGATAACATAGTTTTTTCTTCACTAATGCCAGCTATGATGAATCATTGTATTGCCTGTGAAGCAGTTTATCAGTTAGGCACTCTGGACTTGAGGTGGAAATGCAGCACTATTTCATTGAATGATCGAACTAGCCCACTCAGACATCTACAACACAACAAATGCATACAAAACATTGGCAAATGAGACTCTTCCAGCCCACACCGTGTAATCCATGGCCTGCCAAGCCATGCTAGCTAGGTCTGAGAGGTGCAAATATTGGTGGAGGTGGGAAATGGAGAGAGTTGTGGAGGTGGGATATGGGGAGAGATGGGAGTGGAGATGTCACAAGCTATATAATTTCCGCATTGTCCAGCCATTCCTCCAGCTGGTGTTGGGTGCTTTCAGGCATGCGCTGGCTGTAGAGTTCTGAAGTCTTGGTGGGAGAGCCGATTCTACTTACAGAGAATCCAAGACCTTACCGTTGGCGTTCCAACTGCTCCCTGCCCCTACCATTTGGCATGGCTGACGCAAATTCTTGCTCTGCTGCACCCATTATTTGAAGGAACCCTAAAGTACATGGCTCCTTAAACGCTAGATTGGCGCTGCTGTTGACGCGAAAGCAGCGCAATCGCGTCCCACGCAACCTGCCTGGTCGCGTACCCCCTCGCGAGAGCAATCACAAGATCTTTCTCCGCCAGGACCTCCGCCTCTGCACCCACAATGCGCGGAAAGGCATTGCGCTTGGGGGAGCGGAGACGGCGGAGAGTTCTCGCGGAAGGCTGCGCCTGGTACGGCCTGGGGAGAGCCAAGAAAGACGCAAGCTCTTCACCATCCGCACGCGCAGCGGCTTGTGCTGGCGCAGCGTCGACCAGCAACGCTTTCCCCAAAGCGTCGATAGTCAGTGAAAATTCGTCGCTCGTCATCCCGTCGTCGCTCGACGCTCCGTCGTCGCCGTCAGCGAGCGTTGTTTCGCAGGCGGACTCGACTCTGTGACCTTCCGTTGATTCGTCGGCGGCGGATGTGACTTCCGTGATCGGCGGGAGGAGATTGGGGGGTCCGGAGTGGAGCAGCGAGAGGAGCAACCGGAGCCGTAGCTTTTCCTCTGCGAGTGCCGCGTCGGCTGCAGCCGCCTCATCTCCTCGCTGCTGTTGCTGCTGCTGCTGCGACTGCTGGATAGATGCGCCGGGTCCCTGTCGGCTCACGCACTGTTTTAGCTCCGCTATAAGCTGCTCTGGCGTAAACAATGGCTTTCCTTGCACCCTCTCGTCGTCCACGATGTACGGGTTGCGTTTCAGCCGTTGATGCACGGCTCGAGCCCATCGTAGCCGTCGGGCGTCTCGGCCTTCCTTCTCGGGGAATTGCCACCCAACCACCTTCTGCCGCTCCTCTGGCTGTTTAACCGTCGAGGTTTTCTGACCTTCTGCATCCTCGTTACAGGATATATCAAGATAGGCTTGAAGAAGCGAGAGCGATGAAGTGTTGTTTTTATTAAGAGACTTCGAATGCAATTCTATTTGTCGCTCGTTTCGTCGAGCGGACAACCGCGACCCGCTCTGCGACTCTTGCGGCGGTCGCACGAAAAGAAGAAAGACTAGCGCAAGCATGGCGACGGGGCAAATGGCGACAAAAAGCGCCGCCCATGGTGAGAAATCAGCGTCAGTAAGGGTCATCATCCTTAAAACTCAATAATGGCGACGGCGCAGAGTCAAGCTTGGTCGAAGCCTTGAGATAGTCGGTCGTCGTGTGAAAGCGCTACGATTTGGGATCAAAGGGTCTCTATTTCTGCCGTTCGACGGCAAATGGTGACTAGAACCTACAGCCGGCGTTGGTACTTCTATTCGCGCAATCTAGGTAGCGAGTTGCACTGACCGCGTTAGGATAAGAAGTCAGCGTAGAATATCTCTACTCAAGCGCGTGTCAGCAGTAGGAGAAAGTGGGCGCGGGGCCAAAGAGTTACGTAGGCCATAGAGCCTCGGTTCTTATATTCTAGCATGCTAGCAGATTATTCACAGAAGATGCTGAAGCTCTGAATGCGTAGGTGGACATATATCGCGCCCGAAGAACTCACAGAAAAAGAAACGATAACTTCGCCTTCTGATGGTTCGTCCAAATGCGGTGCAGAGCAATAATGGTCAGAGGCGGGTGACAGGTGAGGCGGAAGTGGAGAGGGCTGGGCCGCAGCACTTTTCCAGGGAGCTGGTGTTTTGGTCACTCACCAACCCGCAGGCTCGGTGGTGGGCCTTGGGAGAGGTTGAAGAAGTCAGTGGCGAATCACTCGTTCCATGCCGTCCCCCTCAGCCCCTGACAGACCAGACCACACCACACCAACCGGCTTTCAAACCACATGGCTCGGTGGTGCAGGGCTAGTCTGGGGTAGGCTGGTAGGCATACTTGAGGGATGAGAACAAACTGCTTCGCGCGTCGTGTTCGGCCTCGCCTAGGTTACCAGGGCGGAACCTCCTTGGCTCCGTCAGCTGTTGCTAACCCCCAACCGCTGTCTAGTGTTCCCGGGCCGAGAGACTAGGCCACCTGAACTTGCCGGACCTAACGTACTTGCGTACCCTGGCCTAGCCTGGCCCCCCTGGCTAGCTCCGGACGCTTGACTAGCTCCGCCCTGGACGAACGTCAACGCGGACTCAACATCACGCACGAAAGTAGTAGCCAATCGTGGGGCAGCTTCCCCGGCACAGGTGGAGTGCCCCCCCAGTTCGGCGTGGAGATTGGGTTTCGTGCGCCAGTTCGGCAACGCTTGCGACGGTGCTTGCTGAGCAATAATCGCGCGCGAAAGACCAGGGTGGCGTCGTTCCGGGTCAACCTGAAAAGTGCTTGACGACGCCGTGGGTTGCGGCAGCAAGACGCCAGCTGAAGAGAAGCATTATTGAATCCGAGCCAAACTCCAAACCACAAGAACAGCCTTACCGAACCTCAACTTAACATGCGGTTCGTGGACTCCATCAGCAGGCTCACTCACCTCATCCATAGATCATGGATCGTTTAGATCGTCCACGCGACACGCCTGTTGGTCCTCTGGCCGCGACATGCGGGAAGAATGGCTGATCCTTCCTGAATAATCACGTCGCGACAAACCAATGCACCCTGAATCTTGCCCTGAAGTCTAGGTTTGACCTGGCTTCGAATTTGTTGAACATGTAACAATTACCTGTTTTATAAGTTGATCAATGGCAAACACTAGAAATGATCTTGTGCTTCCTTATGAATCTCTCTAGTTCACTTTGAAGCAAGATTAGGGATCACTCACTGGATCATCTGCCTCTCACTAGCTTGTCAAAATGTATTCATATGAATTGGGATCAAGAGGGTGTACTGCTTGTACCAGTTTTTAGGGCGAAGAAAGCAGGCCACAATTTCCTAACAAGTCTAACAAGGCTAATTTCTCTCAAAAGTAGGGAGTTTCAAGGAATGAATCGCTTTACGTGTACTCTCATTTCAGATTCACCAAAGCATGGCGTAACCTAGGCCAAACACAAGTTTCAGAAACCCATCACAAACGGCACCCCTATTAATTTACTTGTAACCAGCACCGCTCTCGCCTGCATACGAGTTGTCAGAGCCTTCTGCAAAGCTAGGCTCGTTCATTGGCATCTGCCCCTCGCCCTCCCCACCTGCCGGGTATGCGACTGGAACAGCTGAAGCCTTGTACAGTCTGGCGTGGGGGAAGACAATAGAGGGGATAAAAATGAGTGGAAGGCACTCAGATGCAGTGATGGAGGAGTAACAAACATTCAGGTGATATGATGTTTTTTTTTCATGTTTTATGTGATGTGCAGTGAGATTGGTGTGCGAAGGAGTTGAAAAAAAAAACATGAAGGTTTATTACTCAAGCACTCGCTATCCCACCTCTCCCACCAACCCCCCCCTCCTCCTCTTCCTCCCCCCTACCCTCTGTCCCCATCACCCCCTTCCCCACCCCCACACTCTGGCCCCAGCCAACCCAACCCCATTCCCAGTCCCAAACCCAACCGCCCACCTTTTCCCCCCAGTCTTACCCCTCAACTTCGGCGTCACTGAGTTTGTCCCCGAGCCTGACGGCTCGGAAGACATAGATAGGCATGGAGAGGGCCTGCATCATGCAGGCGATGGTGATGACCAGGAAGCCAACCCACAGCATCTGGAAGTTGGTCACCATTGCTTGTGCCTCGGATAATGCAAACTGTGGGAACATTTACAGGGAGGCGAGGAGACAAGGGAGAGGAGGGAGAGGGGAGAGTGAGGAGTCAAGGGAGAGGAGGGAGAGGGGAGAGTGAGGAGTCAAGGGAGAGGAGGGAGAGGGGAGAGTGAGGAGACAAGGGAGAGGAGGGAGACGAGAGAGTGAGGAGTCAAGGGAGAGGAGGGAGAGGAGAGAGTGAGGAGGGAGAGGGGAGAGTGAGGAGTCAAGGGAGAGGAGGGAGAGGGGAGAGTGAGGAGTCAAGGGAGAGGAGGGAGAGGGGAGAGTGAGGAGTCAAGGGAGAGGAGGGAGAGGGGAGAGTGAGGAGACAAGGGAGAGGAGGAAGACGAGAGAGTGAGGAGTCAAGGGAGAGGAGAGAGTGAGGAGGGAGAGGGGAGAGTGAGGAGGAAGCCAGGAAGCCGATCCATAGCATCTGAAAGTTGGTAACCATTGCCTGCACCTCGGATAATGGAAACTGTGGGAACATATTGAAGGGGGGGGATGGGGGAGAGGAGGGGGGCATGGAGAGAAAAAACAGCAAGCACATATGTGTGACGATGCATGTGTGCGCGATCACATCATTCATGTGTGCATGTGTGTGAGCAGTCCCGAAACATCCTGCCCCTCACCGCAGCAATGTTTGCAACGTAGGAGCAGTCGACGAGGGAGAGCACGTTGGGGATGGTGCATTCATTCATTTCCACAGGCGGATGAGTCAAAACGCACGCAGGTGCAGGTGCACTGCACCGCACTGCACCGAACTGCACCGAACTGCCCCGGCCTGCACTGCGTATCTTCTCACCCTGGCAATGTTGGCCACGTAGGAGCAGCCGACGAGGGTGAGCGCACGTTGGGGATGGTGGATTCCTTCCATAGAATCCCCAAGAGTCAAAACTGCTCTGCGCTGCACTGCACCGCACAGCACCGCACCGCACAGCACCGCACCGCACTGCATATCTTCTCACCTTGGCAATGTTGGCGACATAGGAGCAGTCGACGAGGATGAGCACGTTGGGAATTGTGGATTCGAGCAGCGCGAGCGTCTGAGCCGTGGCTGTGAGGTCGTTCCTCACCACCTCGGGCACCAAAGCAGTGCTGCCGGCGGTCCTCATAAGCATCTGCAAAAAGGGGGGAGGGGGAGAGGGAGCGAGAAGCGGGAAGGGGGAGAGGGAACAATGTTTTTTTTGCACCGAGCTGACTCACAAGGCTGTGAGGTCGTTCCTCACCACCTCCGGCACCAAAGCAGTGCTGCCGGCTGCCGTCATAAGCATCTGCAGACTGTAGGGACAAGGGGACAGCGGGAAGAGGGACAGGGGGGAGGGGACAGGGGAGAGGGACAGCGCTAAGGGGTGTTACAAAGAATGTGCAGTTTGTGCCGCATGTGGCCGACTCAAAAGGCTGTGAGACCGTTGGCTGTGAGAACACGTGCCACATCAGCACACAGCACACGTGCTACATCAGCACACAGCACACGTGCTACATCAGCACACAGCACACGTGCTACATCAGCACACAGCACACGTGCTACATCAGCACACACCACACGTGCTACATCAGCACACAGCACACGTGCTACATCAGTACACCAGCCACTCACGTTCACAAACTGTGGGAGGGGGATGGTGCCTAGACCACAGTAGCTCATGTTACGTGTAAAATGCAGGTATGCCACATCAGCACACATGCCACATCAGCACAACAGCCACTCACATTCACAAACCGCGGGAAGAGGATGGTGCCTTGAACATAATAGCTCATCTTGCACGTGTATTCAGCACACATGCCACATCATCACACATGCCACGTCAGCATACATGTCACATCAGCACTCGCGCCACTCACATTCACAAACTGCGGGAAGAGGATGGTGCCTTCAACACAGAGGTCCGTGTCGCGCGTGAAATTGGGCGCCGGGCCGTACGGCACACAGATGCCGCCCGGAACACGAAGAAAGGCAAACAACTGTGGGAGGGGGGGTTGGGTAAGGAGGGAGGGGAGAGCTGTGGTGGGTTTTTGAGGCGCCTCAAAATTTTTGAGGATTTTTTAGTTTTTTTAGGCGCCTCAAATTTTTTGAGGATTTTTTAGTTTTTTGAGGCGCCTCAAAATTTTTGAGGATTTTTGAGTTTTTTGAGGCGCCTCAAAAAGGAGGGAGGGGAGAGCTGTGGTGGGCGGCAGGGTAATAATAGGGAGAGGCGGCACACAGATGCCGCCCGGAACACCAAGGAAGGCAAACAACAGTGGTGGGAGGCGGCGGGGCGGGGGGGTGGGAGGGAAGGGAAGCAGGGGGAGCATGGAGAAGGTTAAATAGCTGTAGTAAGAGGTGCGCTGTATGGAACACAGATGCCGGAGCTGTTGCTGACCCCGGAGCTGTTGGCCGTGGTCAGCACAGCGGCAGCGGTGTAGCGCGCAACCCCAGAGTGGTGCATGCATAGTGGACGTAAAAGAGCGCCCAGTCACAGCAGCGGCCCCCACTCACCCTGGGAGCGTTGCTGACAACGGAGCTGTTGGCAGTGGTGAGCGCGGTGGCGGCAGTGTAGCGCACATGAGTGAGTAGCCTCTGAGTGGGCTTAGGGGACTCACAAGACGGTGTAGCACTGCACTCACCCTGGGAGCGTTGCTGGCCACAGAGCTGTTGGCTGTGGTCAGCACAGTGGCGGCTGTATAACGCGCATAGCGAGTGGCGTTCAGCAGCTTCTCGCTGGGAATGCAGTGGAGGTATTTGTCCATGGCGCTGTTCACGGTGGGCGACTGCTGCACCTGCTCCAAGGCGACGCTTGTGTCGCCGTTCACCCTGAGTTTGTTGATTGGTGAGGGAAAGGAGGGAAGAGGCGGGAGGGAGCAAGAGCTTGTCGTTTTTTTTTTTTTTTTTTTTTTTTTTTTTTTGTAGGGCCGCAAGAGCTTGGAAGTGGGAGGGAGCAGAGGCGAGGGAGCGAGCAGGCTTGCATTGCAATCCTGGGGTTTGGTTTGGGGGTTTAAAAGGGCATAACCAATACGTCAATAGATGCAAAAATTTGAAGAAGGCTCACAACTATATAAAATCAAAATACAAGACTGTTTAATTTTCCGACTAATAATGGACTATAGGGCTTACAGGTAGGCAAACATGTAGGTTTATAGAGATGAGCATATGAAGGCATATGGATACGGAATCACAAAAGCTAACGGATGGAGAGATACTTTGGGTATACAAAAATGCACGAATAAAACATACGGATGCACAGTAGGCTTACAGGTATGCGATAAGTAGACCAGCTGTCATGCACCAAGTGAAGAACACGACCACCCAGATTAAAGTGATGATGCTGTTAAGGGGGATAGACAAAGAACAGGGATACGAGCATAGCAAGTGTTGATGAATCGTACTCTGAGTAGAAAGATGAATCAGAGGGGCGTTTCATTGTGATGTGTAGAAGCTAAAATTGATCAGCATCAAAGCCAGCTACACCTACATGTTCATCAATACAGCACCAATCTCTCAAAACGCAATGTAAATAACAACTTGGAATGCAATGAAGCTTTTTGGAATGCATGCATGCAAGAGCACTCACAGTCACACGTTGGATGCTACAACCCATTTGAAACACTGCGAGGAGTTTTGAGGCGCCTCAAAAGTCTTTTTCGAATGCATGCATGCAAGAGCACTCACATGTTGGATGCCACGACCCATTTGAGAAGAGAAAACACTGCAAGGAGAATTATACATAGAAGGGTGTACGACACGACAAGAAAAGGAATAACTTGACGAATCAAATCACAAATGGCGGTACATGCACGGCAGATGGACGAATCACAAAGAGCGCGAAGAGATTGGCGGGAGTCGCAATGGCTTTTGAGGAAATGCTTGGCACGGGTCTCGTCCCGTTTCTAAAAAAAAAAAAAAAAAAAAAAAAAAAAAAAAAAAAAAAAAAACTGATTCGCATTCATACTCTCGCACTTGCACTTGGATCGTTTCACAAAAACTTCTTCCAAGAAAAGGGGCACGGGGCGGGACATTGTGAGAGCCGAGGGGGCAAGGCAACAGCAATGAATGAATGAAACGAACAGCTTTTTTTTTGTCGACAAAATGCAACGAGTGATACAATAATCGTTTGCAGTAAAATGCTAGCCAGAAAGGTGAGCAGTGGTAGGGGATTGTAGAAGCTGAACAGAGAAACATCTTTAAAGTGTTTTTCGAGGAGAGAAGAGGAGAGGTGGACGGAGTAGCAGGAATAGAGATGTCTGGAAGGAGAGGGAGGGTTGTTGTTATTCTTGTTGTTGTTGTTGCTTTTTGCTTTTTTTTTTTTTTTTTTTTTTTTTTTTTCCCTCCTGGAGACGCGTGGATGGAAGCATGCATGGATTCTGCCTGGAGGTCGTGGTAGCAGCCGGCCGCACCAGGCCTCCAAACGGCAAAAAAAAAAAAAAAAAAAAAAAAAAAAAGAGCGAGGACCCGAAATTAAACGAGCAGGTTGCTATTGCGATTGGTGGGGTGACGCGGGAAGAACAGAGTGCGGGGGGGAGGGGAGGGAAGAGCAGAGAAGGCAGAAAGGAACGCACGTAAGGCGAGGATGCAAAGGGCGGTGATGACACATCCAATGACGTAGAAGGTAATGGAACTGGGGGGGGGGAAAGGTGGGGAAAGAGATGGGGGCAGGGAGGAGAGGCAGGCATATGTCAAGTCAACTTGAAATGCACACAGCAGGAGTCCTTTTCAGAAGGGAAGTAATAACGCATCCAATGGTAGGCATTGGGTAGCAACGACACATTGAATGACGTGGAAGGTGGTGGAAATGGGGAGTGGGGGCAAGTGGAGGGAAGGGGGGGTGATAGTGTTTTGATTGAATTTGAAATGAAATGCACATGGAATGCAAGACTTTCTCACGGACGGAAGGTGCTCACAGAACAAAGCAGGTGGTGGGATTATATATAAACCACAGCACAGCACAGCAACGCGCACACTGCACCGCACCGCATTGACCGCACCGCACCGCATTGCGCGCACACAGCACAGCAGTTACACCGCGCCGCACCGCTCGCCATCCCACAGCACTGCATTGCACCGCACCGCACTCACAGGCCTCGCAGGCCGTTGTTGACGAGGTTCATGCCATCTGCTCTCTTGGCCTGCAGATCCATGGCGATCTGGTTCGCCACTCCCGCGACACATTTGCACCGCACCCCACCGCACCGCACTACACCGCACCGCATAGTACCGCACTGCACTCACAGGACTCGCAGGCCGTTGTTGACGAGGTTGATGCCATCTGCCGTCTTGGCCTGCAGATCACTCATACTCGACGCCGACAGCACAGCAACTCCACCACACTGCACCACACCACACCCCAGAGCACCGCTTTGCCCGCACCACACCACGTTGAACTCACAGAACTCGCAGGCCGTTGTTGACGAGGTTGATGCCATCTGCTGTCTTGGCCTGCAGATCCGTGGCGGTCTGGTTCGCCACCCTTGCCTTGTTCTCAATGTCCGCCTTCTTCTCAGCTGCAGGTGGTTGCGCGGAAAAGGGGAGAAAAGGGGGAGAGGGAGCAACGGTGAGTGGCTGTCCGGTTCGCCACCCTCGCCTTGTTCTGAATGTCCGCCTTCTTGTCAGCTGCAGCAAGGGGCAGGAGGGAGAGGAGGGAAGAGGAAGCAGCAAGATGGGGAGGAAGAGGGCGAGGGAGCGATGGTGCATGGTGGTCTGGTTCGCCACCCTTGCCTTGTTCTGAATGTCCGCCTTCTTGTCAGCTGCAGCAACGCAAGGGGAAGCAGCGAGAGGGAAGAAGCGGGGAGCCAAGCTGACAGCGAGCCGAGTATCAAGGACGAAGTGAGTGTGGGCGGGGCCGTGCCATACTGTAACGACTTTTGAGTCGACTCAAGAAGCAGCGAGAGGGAAAAAGTGGGGAAGCGAGCTGACAGTGAGCCGAGTATCAAGGAGGAAGTGAGTGTGGACCGTGGCTTACAAGGCGGAAGCGAATAGGCCGGAAATTCAGTGAGAAACCAAGTGCCAGCATGGAACCAAGGTTCAGTGAAACAAGTGTGGTATTGAGGAACCAAACATGCCCCACATGGAATGGAAAGGTGTTAGAAAGGTTCCCAGAAACACCGAGAGTGGAACACGGATAATGGATCACTGGTAGGTAGGTGGTGAACGGAATTAGTGAATGGAATGGGGATCGAGATAGTGCATGTGGTAGGCATATACGGTGCCTTGCCTCTCGTATGGCGCAGCTCACTGTCGGAATGGAACGACGGCGTTGGTTGGCAATGGTGACAGATGAGCTCGCATCCACGATGCTCGAGAGGTTTTTGAGAATTCTCAAGAGCATCCATGATGCTCGAGAGGTTTTTGAGAATTCTCAAGAGCATCCATGATGCTCGAGAGGTTTCTGAGAATTCTCAAGAGCATCCATGATGCTCGAGAGGTTTTTGAGAATTCTCAAGAGCATCCATGATGCTCGAGAGGTTGAACATCCGGACGGGCACGATGCTGCATGCGGCTCACTACAAGGCAAGGCAGGCGCCACGTGAGTGTGGCAGGCAGGCGCCACGTGAGTGTGGCAGGCAGGGCTTGTCTCACTCACCGGGAATGACGGCGTTGGCAACGGTGATAGAGGAGCTCGTCTCCACGATGTTAGAGAGGTTGAAGATCACACTGGCCGTGAAGTCCACCTGCTCTGTCACGTACTGTGTCACTGTGCTCACACGGTTATGCAGCTGCACTCCTCCCGCCACCATCACAGAGAAACCCACCCTGGGAGGGGAGAGGGGCGAGGAGAACGAAAACAGGGTGGGTTGATTTCTGTATCAAAGGAAAATGTATTAAAATCATGCAAAAAACAATCACACGCACACACACACACACACACACACACACACACACACACACAAAAACGCACACAAACGCACACACGCGCACGCACACACACACACACACACAAACAAACACACACACACACACGCACACACACACGCACACACACACACAGACACGCACACACACACACACACACACACGCGCGCGCGCGCGCGCACACACACACACTTTTGCATATTAGATGTGAGTCATCCCCATTACAAGCATTCTCAATACCAGCACTCACAGAACAGCGACGATCCCGAGGAGCATGAAGCCGAGCGGCACCCAGAGGTCCTTCTTGGTGTACTTGGCGTATGCGGGATCCCTCATTTCGGTCCACTTGTCGCGACAGCACAGGCAGGTGAGCAGCGAGAATCCGACAATCCCGAGGCCCAGGATCAGCCAGAGAAGGCCGAGCAGCGGCGCGTACACCACCGACCACACCACGGACTGGGGGAGCGGGTCGGAGCGGGGAGGGGTGGGGAGGGGTGTAAGGTCCAGGAAAAAAACAGCGGCAAGTAGAGCAGCCTGAGCAGTGGCGCGCAAACCACCGACCACATGACGGACTGGGGGACGGGGGAGGGGGGGAGAGGGAAGGGGGAGAAGGGGCGGAAGGGTAAGGGCGGGGAAAGCGGGACGGGGAGAGCGGGGCGGGGAGAGTGGGGCGGGCGGTAACAAAAAATATTCCACAACAGATTTTCCAAAACCATAACACATGTGGGTAACACGTGTTACTCACGGCCCAGGTTTCCGAAACGGTTATATACTTCACACGTCGGATTACGCACCGCCCAGTAGTTGTTGGCCGGGTTCCACCCGCCCGTGTAGTCCCCAAGTCCGTCCAGAGGTCTTGCGCCGCGTGCGGTTCTGTGAGCTATATGGGTTACACAAGTTTCGTTATTTCGTCATTCTTTCGCGAAACACGTACCGCCCAGTAGTCCTTGTTGGCTGGGTCCCACCCGCCAGTGTAGTCCCTAAGTCCGTCGAGAGGGTTCTTGCGCCGCGTGCGGTTCGGAGCGAGAGTCACGTTCTGGAGGATTTGTTGTAACGCGCGACGAGTGACGTGATTAAAACGGGCGTGTTCCAAAATCGCGGCGCGAGGCGCTTGTGTTATAGCGTTCCGAATTAGCGCGTCGTAGTAAAGGACGGCATCGGGGAGGTGATTATATTCCAGGTGAAACTTCTGAGATGCTGTCGCGTCGGGTACCAAAGAAGACCTACTAATGCCCTTCAACCCCGCCGCAACCCGCGCCGTCGAATCCGAGTCGGCAGCGCACAGACGCGGTGCGGTAGCTACAACGCAGATGGCGAGGAGAAGGAGGGAAAATCTTGTCCCAATGCCAGAAGTATTCGAGCAGCCACGAGGCGACGAAACGCGCGCTGCCCGACGGGGGATGCGCGTCTTATTTGGCGCGGCACAACCGCCTCTTCTCCGCATTTCCTCCATTTCCCGGCGCATTAGTAACAGTCTCTTTGTTTTTCAAAGCGCTACGTTGAAGCCACTTCAAATGGTTAAAAGCGCTCTTAGGACGTAACGTCCGGTAATAAGGGCCCTCGTGCAATTAGACGCGGGGGTGGCGCTTCGCGGCGTCTCAACGAGCAACCTCTGTGCTTGTCTGCCTATTACGCTACAGCTAGAGTAGGCATTCACGCATCTGAAATAGCTCTCCGTCTCCGTAACCAGCGGCGATTAGATAGAACTGAAAGCGGCACAACCACAAATGAGAGGCAGCCCAGCAACCACCACGTTGACGCTCAAGCTATGCAATGCAGCAACAGAACTATATCCAGAAGTGGAAGTAGTGAGCGGCAGAGTGAGACACACGACAGTACAGTTTTTTATTTGGTTCGGTGGCGTAGTGACGGTGAAAAACGGACTGGAAGACCAGGGGGCTGAGGCGAGGAAGAAAGGCCCAGTGTGTATCGCACACCACAGATTTGCATTTCTATCTATACAGCTAATGCCCGTTAGAGCCCGTCCCGGTTGCCTTGTGAAGGGGGTCTGTAAGCTAAACCTGCATTTCGCGTGAGGTTCGTTCGTTTCGTCAGGCGTCTAGCGTGCTTCAAAACTGCACATGGTAACCACCCTATTTGTCTGACTCGCAACAGTAAGGGTTCGCAGCACTTGTCCCTGTTGTGTGTTCCTGGTTACTAAACAAAGCCTACAGTCATGAAACAAGCAGGTTCATCAATTGTTCCGCATAGTACAAAACAACCACCACACAAACCTCATCCAATCAACAACCCCCACCTGGCCCCTCAGCTTCATTCAACACACAAAGCGAAACACGCACAAATGGGCACAAGGAGTGCACACTGAGAGCCCAGCAGAATGCCTTCGACACCTTGCTGGGACTGCTCCACCACCCCTCACAGACGCATCCACTCAGCCGCGTCCACATACCCGTCCATCACGGCGCCCACACCGGCGTCAAGCAGCTGCTGACGGCGGGAAGGCTGGGTCATCCAGCCAGGCAGCACACGGCCGCACGGACGAGGGGTCTCGGGCGTGGGAGTTGCGCCGGGGGTGGACACGGGCAGAGGGGTCACGTTGAGGTTGAATGACGGGCTCGCCCGCTCCATCCGCGCGATAATGATGGGGTTGCGGATATCGAAGAGATGGCAGAGATCGCGCGGCGTGATGCGGGTGGCTCGAGCATATCCGATGAGCATCTCGCATGCCGCCCGGGCAGTGCGGCGCGCTTCGCGGGCCACGGGGTCAGCGTCGTCGTAGACGGCCTGCATGGTCGTCGGCGCCTCCCAGAGCTCCACCACCATGTCCGCCTCCGGCTCCGTTGTGGGCTGTGCCGCAGCGCCTTCGGCGCACGTCGGCTCGCCATCGTCTATGGCGACGTACTCGGCGGCCGTCATCGCTCCTGTCCCAAGGCCGAGCCCGCTAATGAGCGTACCGACATCGTCGATGTCGTCGTCGAGCTCAATGTCGGGACAGACGGGAGGGATAGGTTCGTCGTCGTGTACGTGTGGCAGATCCATGGACCACGAGAGCGGAAGACACCCCGTGCGCCACCAGCACCGTTGGATGGTGCGCGCGCCGACGGAGGTCCACGCGGCCGATAGCCACCCCAAGACGTCACACAAGTTCGGGCGGTACCGCGCCACGGCGCTAGTCGCGCCGTCGGCGTTCCACAAAGCCGAAAAGGCCCGCAACCAGTGCTGGCGGTAGCGGGCCTTGGCGATGGCGATGATGCCGTGGTCGAGTGGCTGAATGAATGCGGTGGTGTTCGGCGGTAGGAAGACGAGCCGCACGTTGCTCATGCACGTCGTCCGCATGCCGCAGACGATCTCGCTCCATGCGTGCTCGCTCCTGAGCATGTGACTGCTAGCGTTGTCGAGCAGCACGACGATGTGGCGATTTTCCGCGTACATAGCAGCATTGAGCTGCGATATGAAATGAGTGAATAACTGTGGGCAGGGAAGGGAGGTGAAGGTGTCGTGCAGAGGAAACATAGTTAGCACAGGCATATGCCCGACAAATAAGCCGCGACAGTCACGCACTGGAAAGCAAAAAATAGCCAGCAACCACATACATATCAATCACTTACCGGCACCGTCATCCAGCCTTTCGCGTTATGCCGCCAGTAGCAGAGGGCCTCGGGGTCATAATCCGGGCGGAAGTCGTGGGGGCACTTCGCCTTGCTGATCACGAGCGGTCGAATGCGTGGCTCCCGTCCGCATTGACGAGGAATGCGACGGTCAGCCGCTCCTTCGAAACTTTGCGGCCTGGTATGCGGCCGTTGCTGTACGTGCGCCGAGGGAGCACGGACAGCCAGAGCGCGGTCTCGTCAAGGTTGAAAGTGTCCCGCGGGCTGAGACCGAGATGAGTGAGGAGTTGCGGGAGCTTCTCCCGTGCGTCGCGCACGGCGGCCATGTCCGCGCTAGCCGCCTCGCCTTGTGCTGCACGGCACCTCACCCCCTGGCGCCGCAAAGCACGGTGCACCCAGCCGATGGAGCAGCGGAATGTGTGTGAATCAAGAAAACAGGAATGAAATGACTAAGTGAAAGTTGGGTACAAAAGGCAAACCCTAGGCAACTGTACCCCATATGTGCTACCCCACTATAGCCTACAGTAGCTATGTCATATAACTCTGACACACCCCCATAGGCAAAGTGGGGGAGAACAAGGGGTCACAAGACCAGTCAAGCAAAGCAAAGCAAGCTCAGGGTGGATCACAAAGTCACCACACATTCCGAGCACAAGTTCAAGGCCACAAGGCCAGTTCACATGCAGGATTACATATATATATAAGGCTAGACAAGCAAGAGCAGGAGTATATATATATGCAACAGTACAAATAAGGTCAAGAGGTGAGCAAGTGAGGCAAGGTAGGTACAAGACCCAGCTGAGTACAGAAGCGCTGATGATCACAAGGCGCAAGTGCCTTGGTGAAGATATCAGCAGTGTTGGCCTCAGAGGCCACGTACGCAAGTCGCAGCTGACCACGCTGCTGTAGCTCACGAGCAAGGAAGTAGCGAAGAGCAATGTGCTTCGTTCTGATCTCCAGTCTCTGCTCTTGACACAAGGCCAGCATGGCCTTGTTGTCTACGTAGAGCACTGGAGGAGAACGAGGCGGCTCTCCGAGGTCAGTCAGCAGGTAGGTGAGCCAGCGAAGCTCCTGTGCAGCCATGGCCCCGGCGTAGATCTCAGCCTCACAACTGGAGCCGAGAACAGAAGACGAGCGAGTAGCCCGCCACGAAACAGAGCCGGAACCAAGGCTGAAGGTGTAACCCTGTGATGACCGCTGCGTAGCCTGGTCGTCAGCCCAAGAAGCGTCTGCGTGTCCAGTGAGGACCACTGGACTCTGCCCTCCAAGCACAAGCCCCATGCCCGACGTACTGCACAAGTAGCGCAACACCCTCTTCGCTGCAGCCATGTGCTCCGGTCTGTGTCTCCCAGGAGCAACATAGCGTGCAAGAATGCTAAGAGAGTATGCAAGGTCAGGTCGTGTGCAGGTCATCAGGTACATGAGGCAGCCAACAAGCTCTGGGTACGGGCCACTCGACTCTACGGACTCATCCGAAGGCAGAGCTGAGAGCGAGTGGCGAGTAGGCAGAGGAGTGGCCTGAGGCGAGGAGTACGTGAAGCCGAAGCGCTGAAGGACCTGCTGCACCATGTGTGACTGAATCAGGGTAATGGTGCGGCGTGCTCTGTCCCGGGTGATCTGCAAGCCAAGGTAGCTGCGCAGTTCACCCAGGTCTGTGCACGTGTGTCTCTTCTGCAGCTCGGACTTCACGTGGGCGAGTCCAGCAGTGTCAGCTGTGGCAAAGACCAAGTCATCGACGTACACGAGGATGTAGAACGGCTGCAAAGAAGTGTCGGTGCGCAGAAACAGCGACGGGTCGGCAGTAGAGGGAGCAAACCCAAGAGCCGCAAGTGTAGTCCTCAGTGTGTCGTGCCACTCACGCGGTGCCTGGCGGAGACCGTAGACTGGCCGCCGGAGGCTCCACTGGGTGCCAGGAGGAAAAGACCCAGTGAAGCCAGGTGGGCGACGCAGCCAGATCTCCTCGTGCAGGCTGCCCTGCAAGAAAGCAGTGCTGAAGTCAAGAGAGTGCAGCTCGTAGTCGCGGTGAGCAGCTATGTGCAGCAGTACCCGAAGAGTGGTCATCTTCGGGGTGGGAGAGAAGGTCTGAAAGTAGTCAACTCCCTGCCGCTGACTGAAGCCACGAGCCACGTAACGCGCCTTGAAGACAGGCGGAGAACCCGGCGGCCGCTTCACCCTGAAAATCCACATGCCACTGACGATGTTCGCCCCAGGCGGGGGAACCTCGTCAACGTAGGTGCCTGTGGACTTCCAGGAAGCCATCTCTGCGTCCATAGCTGCCTGCCACTGAGAGGAGTAGGGACCCTCTATCGCCTCCGCGTAAGAGCGCGGAGTCGGGATGTCAAGTGCATCCGGGTCTCCCTCAGGGGTAAGCAGTACGGACACGAGATGAGGTGAAGCAGCAGCCAAACACTGGAACTCCTCCTGCCTGTCCTCAAGGACGTCCGTGCCAAGGGCACACTCACCCCCGACGGACGGAGGACAGACAGACTCAGACTCAGCAACAAGACTAGCAGCGTAGTCTAGGCGACAGCGAGCAGCAAAGTCGACGAGCTCAGTAACTAGGGCAGACGCAGCAGTGGACTCAAAGGAAGGGTCAGTGACAACAGTAGCAAGGAGACGCGTGACAGTAGGACTGGCAGCACGAAGAGAGTCCGACTCCGGATCAGGAAGAGCAGGAAGAGAGGACTCAGGAGGAGAAGGCAAAGGGGCATGCAGAGGAGCAGTGGACGGACGCAGAGACATCCGGTGCGTGCCAGGGACAGGAGGAGGACGCTGACGCGAACCACGAGCACTAGTGCGAGCAGCACGGACAGGCGACGTAGGGCGAGACGCAGGCTCACGACGCTCAGCAAGACCTCCAGTAGGACCAGTGTAGGGAGAAGGAGCGGGCAGTGGGGAGGCCGGCTGTAACTGTAACTGTGACGGGACAGGCTGTGGACACGCTAAGGGAGGAGGAGGACCAGTAGAAGGCGGGAGACCAAGAACCTGCTGAAGGAGCGGAACGAAGTACGGCCGAGGCCGCGCGGCGACTCCAGACACAGCAGGGACAGCACCAGTACCCCCAGCGGCAGCACCAGCGCCAGCAGCACCTCCAGCTCCAGTACCTCCAGCAGCACCAGTAGCACCCCCAGCAGGACCGCCTCCAGGACCGACAGCAGTAGCCTCAGCGCCAACACCCTCAGCAGCTCCAGCTCCAGTCGTACCCGCAGGCCCAGCAGCTCCAGTACTCCCAGTACGAGCACCTCCGGGACCCGCGGCACCAGCACCCTCAGCAGCCGAAGAACCTCCAGCTCCTGCAGCACGCCTCCAGCGCCGGGCAAACCACTCGCGCAGCTCCTGTGGAGAGAGTGGCTCCCGCGAGACGAAGCACCCGGAGAACCTCCAGGCTCAGCACCGCCAGACGCCACACGAGCAGGCCCAGCTCCCTCAGGCTCCGCACCCCCAGGCTCAGCACCTCCAGGCGTAGCACCCCCAGGCGTAGCACTCAGAGGCTCAGCACCCCCAGGCTCAGCACCCCCAGTAGTAGCACCCCCAGGCTCAGCACCCTCAGGCTCAGCACCCCCAGTAGTAGCACCCTCAGGCTCAGCACCCCCAGGCGTAGCACCCACACGCTCAGCACCCCCAGAGTCAGCACCCCCAGGCTCAGCACCCTCAGCAGCACCAGAGTCACCAGTAACCTCGACAGGCTCGACTGCGTCTACCTGGGACACACCTGAAGGGGCAGGACCCTGAGGGGGGAGGGGGTCTACCGGGGGGGGACCTGGGACAAGGAAGAGCGGTGGCGGGGGGAGGGACGGAGTGCGGTAGGGGAAGAGGCGGTAGTAGGGGACCGACTCGTCAAACGTGACGTCCTGGGAGGACAGGACACGGCGAGAGGTGGGGTGGTAGAACTGCCACCCTGGCGCGTCAGGGGGGAAGCCAAGGAAGACGCAAGGAGCAGCACGAGGGGACAGCTTGTCCGCAGACAAGTCGCGGACAAACGCCCGAGATCCCCAGACACGGAACGCAGACGCATCGCCAACCTTCCCCGTCCACAGCAAAGCTGGGGAGGTCTCCGGCATGGAGACCCTGGGCTGAAGGTTGATCTGATGCGCCGCGTACCGAACCGCAAACGGCCACAGAAAATGGGGGGCAGCCGCATGCATCATGGACGTACGGGCGACGTCCATGACCATGCCAATGCGGCGCTCAGCAATCCCATTTTGCTGTGGAGAGTCCGGAAGCGTGAAGGTCTGGCGGATGCCTCGTGCACGACAGTAGGCTCGCAGAAGGCCAGAGGAGAACTCTCCACCTCTGTCAGAGTGCAGACGCTGAACAGGAAAGTCCGAGCCGAAGCTCTGCCTGAGCTGGAGACGAGCTGCGCGGATCCAGTCGATCAACACCTCAGTGACATCACCCTTGCTGCGCAAGGGGAAGACTGTGGTGTAACGCGAGTAGTCGTCAACCACCAGCAGGAAGTAGCGCTCGTGACCCTGTCCACGGACGCGGGCCGGGCCCCACACGTCCATGTGAAGCGTCTGCAGCGGGGCCTCTGTCGGAGGAAACTGGGAGGAGTGAGGGGCAGCCCGCTGCCGCCCCTCGACACAGGGGACGCAGGTAGGGCCAGGCCCCGGAGGAAGGGGAGGGAGGGACCGGGGAAGACCAGAGACAAGGACACGGGAGGCCATGCTTCGGAGACGAAGCAGGGAGGGGTGACCAAGGCGGTGGTGCCAGAGGAGAGTCTCGTGAGACAGGAGGCGACACGAACAGGGGGCAGACTCAGGACCAGACCTGGACGCTGCAGCAAACACCTGACCCGACGCAGCTACCTGACCAGACGCAGTGACTGGAGGAGACGCAGTGGTCAGGGTGTACAGGCTCGACCCCGGCCGACGGGTAAACGTGGCCAGGTGTCGGCCTGTCCGAGCGTCCGTGCAGTGG